ACCATCATATCTAAACAAGGCCTCTTCTCATCCTTCTCATCCCCTGTTGTCTCGCCCTGTTCACAGCACTATCTCAAAATAGCACCTTTAAACTCTCCTTTCCCTGTCTCCTCCACCCTGAGACTGCGGGGCTCAGAGTTCCAGCCCCAGCCCCAGGCTCAAGGTCAGGCGCACAATAGTCACCCAGCACATACACATAAAATGAGTAAATGCACGGAATCAGCGGGAGTATGTACGGCGGTGAGGGCGCCGCGGTCTGGGATCTGGATGGCCGGGGAAGAAGCTGTGTGACTAAGGTGAGGGGACGGTGAGGGCAGAGCCATCCGTGTGGACGCTGCCAAACAGGAACAGGGAAAATAAACTAGAATTAGAAAATGGAAAGTAAAGTGTCTTTTCTTCAAAAACCACACGTGGTGGGGTAGGGAAGCTGGACGGAGTGATCATGACCTACCAGGTTTTCTATAGAGAGCTGGAACTGTCTGATTTCACGCAGGGTCTCGTTGTCTCTCTTCACTTCGTTCACATACTGTGCCAAGTCCTGCGGAGCGAAGAGAAGGGGACAAAAAGAAGGCCCATGAGATGGGAGGAGAGAGGAGAGCTGTCCGAAAGAAAACACATCATTCCTTCAGGAGCGGCAAAAGCACCTGTGGCTTTTCAATGGCCATCGAATCAACCAAAGCTGCTCACCAAGAACAAGTTAAAAATGTCTGGAGGACAGCCCGGCCGGCGTGGCTCAGTGGTTGAGCATCGACCTATGAACCAGGTCACAGTTCAATTCCAGGTCAGGGCACATGCCAGGTTGCGGGCTCGATCCCCAGTGTAAGGTGTACAGGAGGCAGCCGATCAATGATTCTCTCTCATCATTGATGTTTCTCTCTCTCCCTCTCCCTTCCTCTCTGAGATCAATAGAAATGTTGTTGTTTTTCAATGTCTGGAGGACAGCTGGGAAGACCGAAGAGGTGTCACTTACCTCACCCTTGAGAAGAACAGGATTAAAAAAAAAAAAAAGTGACCCCACACAGAACAACAGAAAGGGAACCAGATCAGGAGAATGTACATTCCGAAGACATTAACAACGACCCTGAGAGGAGGACATGTCACTCGCGTTGGAGTAAGGGCAGAAAGGAGGGCTCGGCGAGGGAGGGAAAGGTAACTAAGTTAGACCAGGAACCTGCAGGACTGTTCTCTGCCATCAGTTCGTGTCTCTATTCCTGGGAGCCTTCGATCACATCTCCTTTGAAAGCAGAGGGGACGGAGGCGAGAGAGAGCAGAGAACTCGGGGAAACGGGGCGCCATGAACACGGCCCCCTTGCTCCCTGGGTGCCGCCTATTTTTAAATGTCTGCTCTCATTTCGGAGGAAACAGTAGCTAGTCTTCCACCCGGTGACCAGCTATTTTTATGGTACGCGCTCTCCATTCTCTGTGTTCTGGGGTCTTTTTCATCGTCTCTGTTCCCTTCAGTTCATCTGAAGCAGCGGGAACAGAACTCGGACAAAAGGCAGTTCTGAACTCTGTTCTAAATGAAAGTCTGACTTTTCAGAGCCTGTATCTATAAATGATCTCTTAAAATTAGACCCTTGGTATGACTTTTTGTAACAGTAAGTAACTGGGTGATGAGCCCTGACGGGGTGGGTGTAGAGCCGCTGGGAAACGGCCCAGAGACCCGGAGAAGCATCACCACCGTCTCACAGTCGCCTCTCGTTTTGCTCTGAGGACACATTTGCTTCTGAGGACACATTTGCTTCTGTTTTAAATTAGGGATGAATATTTCCTTCACAGTTCAGCACAGCGTGGAAGCTGGGTCTTAGAGATCCCCCATGTGCTCAGAAAGTCTGCCTCTATCTACTCGTCATTCTTGACTTTCAGGTTTCCCTGAACATAGAAACCCAACCTGAACCTCATGTGCACTGACGCTCAGCATCCGCAAAGGAAGCCTGGCAGAGGCCTCACCGGAGAAAGCTCCCGCCCACCTGGTGCTTACACAGCCGCAGTGTTCTATTGGCGACCACCCAGAGAATGTCGAAGGCAACCACGATATGAAATCATTCCTGGAGGCTATGGAAGTTGTCATAACATTCACAAATAACAAAAATTCTTTTTGCCCAGCCAGCGTGGCTCAGTGGCTGAGCATCGACCTATGAACCAGGAGGTCACAGTTCGATTCCCAGCTGAGGCACATGCAGGCTCGATCCCTAGTGTGGGGCGTGCAGAAGGCAGCCGATCAATGATTTTCTCTCATCATTGATGTTTCTGTCTCTCTCTCTCCCTCTCCCTTCCTTTCTGAAATCAATAAAAATATATAGTTTTTTAATTATTTTAATTCACCTGTTGGTTTTATGTGTTTTTATCTAACAATTAAATTCATACAAGTGTATTTATTTCAGTCAAAAACTATTCAACTCTCCCCACCAGAAACAAAACTACACAAATACTTGTGTATATTATAATATATTAGCATACCATGCATATGGCTTAGCAGAGTCTTCTCTTGTTTTCAGGCAAGAATAACAAACACAAGCAAGGTCACAGCGCATCGCTTTACCTTCATTGCATCCAGAGCCAGCTTCAGATTCGCCTTCTCTGTGGGGTCGGTGGTATGCTTGACCAGCTCCTATTTGGAAGACACAGTTCAGTACTATTTTCATCAAATTAACACCCAAACATAAGGAAGAAAACATTTAAAAAATTAACCCATTATGTAGGTTTGGCGCAGCCACAAACAGTAGAGAATTTCTCAAAAAATTAAAATGGAACTGCCTTAATAAGGCTCAGTAATTCCGCTCTGGAAATATATCCGAAGAAACCCAAATCACTAATTTGAAAGGATATATGCTCCCCTATGTTCAGTTACAGTGTAATTTACAAGAGCCAAGATCTGGAAGCAACCCAAGTGCCCATCATCATGGGACTGAACATACTTTCAAAATTTAAAGTACAAAACAATCCAAGAGGAATTAGGAAAAAGTTTGCTAAATTTCATAAAAGTATAGTCAGATTTGATACTTTTAGAAGTCTGTCTAAAACCTAGATACAAACAGATGTGTCTTGAAAACTGCACCTTCTAAACTCTTCCATTGGTATTTAGTAACCAAAGTTACTAAATAAATTATTCTCTTATTTTGGACAGGTTTTTAGTTCCACGATGTCTCAGAAACTGATCGCCTTAGTCTTCCTTATTATTTCTTCATAAAATCCAATTTGAGTAGAGTTGCTCTGAGTTTAGGTCTCATACATGTTTTAATGCGTTTTAAAGAAATAATCAGGGTTTGAATTTCTCTGATTTCTCAGTAGAACAAAAATAGGGATGACTAATAATTCTGCGGCTTCAGTGCAAGAAATGTAATATTAAGAGGTCCAAAGCACAGAAGACTCCAAATCATATTTCACATGCAGGTAGGAGACCTGTTTAAAACAACATTTCACAAGCGTCAGCAGAGGAGATAGGCTAATGCAGTAGGACATTCCTTTGGAGCAGAACTAATGAGTCTCCTGGTACAGCCATCAAATTAAATTTATAAGACTCTCCACCCTCATTAGAGGACTAACCGTAGAAACCGCAAGCTTTGGGGTTATAACGAGAATCCCTGCAAAATACATGTAGCCTTGTTATAATCTACTAGAGCAGAAAGCAACCCAGAATGTGACACAACTCTTCAGGTTATGGTTATCAGGCAAAAGTTCTCCCAGAATTAACCTGCTGAATCCGGGTACATAGCACTATCGAGAATCTAGTAAGTGACTAATACTGACGACAAAGCATTTGGCCGAAGGGGTCTTCATATTTGTTTTGACCCGATTATTTAACTTTTAAATCTGTCTGGAGCCAGCTCTGTTTGCGGGACAGGGAGTGTGACCTCGTGAAAAATGAGCATCACCTTGGCTTCAAGGAAGGCAAGTTCCCAGCTGTTATTTCCCGCTGCGCCCCACTGATCATTGAGAATTGCAAGGGGCTCGGGCCCCAGACACGGAGCCTCGGGCACACAGTGGATGCCTCATGAGTATTTGGTCGAAGGAATGAAGGAACAGGGGATTAAGTGACGTACCTGCAGGAGAAGGTGGTACTTTAACACGCGCTGCATTGGGACCACGAGCAGGTCTCGGAGAGTGAACTTCCCGTTGTTGGCGCGTTTGGAACATTCCTAGTGAAAGGTGGTTTTTAAAACGTGCGTTAAAAACCGTTAGCTTTATCAAAGGGGGTCATAAAGCCAACACGAAAAGATGCAAAGGCCATACACAGAACTGTGACTGCATGATAAACATCTCCTTTTCCTTAACAAGCCTTGTTTCTAAAAAACAGAAAGCACCTACAATTAAAAACCAAAAACAAACCAACCTTGGAGCATTTCAGCTCTAACTATGAACCGGTAAGAAAAACTATGAAGAGTCTTTCCTCTGGGCCCTCCAGGGTCTTCCTCCTCACAGGCTGACAGCTCTGCCTTGTCCCCAATCTCATCCAAGCCCCGGCCCGTCCAACCCACATGGGCCGCCCCACCAACACACCCTGGTTCTCTCCAGCTGCCATGTGCTTGGCCCAGTTCCCGGCGAAATCCAGCGTTCTCCTCAGGAACTACACTTCCAGGCCTTTAGTGACAACCCCAATCAAAAGGATGCTCTCTCTGTGCCTTGTGGGTCTTTTCATTCTTGTTGTACATAATCCCTTCCCCAAGATGTCTCCCATACCTCTAAGAATCTGGTATTTGCTGAAGTGTTTGTTGAACTGAATGAAATGATTGACTCCAAAAATATGCTCAAGTGTAAACCTACTACAGGATTCAATGTTTCAAAAGCCTCGGGTTTCTTTTTTTTTTTTTTTTTAACATCACACTATTCTTTTTTTAAAGTGTATTTTAAACTAGTACTTTACTGTTTCTCACAGATCTATAGTGTCGTTCAAAAAGAATGGCTCAGTTGGTTGAGCATCGTCCTGTGCACCAAAAGGTCACTGGTTTGATTACAGGTCAGGGCACATGCCCTGGATGTGACTTCAATGCCCAGTACGGGGTGTGAAGGAGGCAGCCCATAGATGTTTCTCTCTCCCTCTCTGCCTCTCTCTCTAAAAATCAATTTAAAAAACAGAGTTCACAAAAATATTATTATTAGTGGGCAACTTAGTAAGTCCAAAATCCTCAGACAATTGCACATCCCAGACCAAGGAATTTGGGAAGGAGCTCAGGAAAGGAGTTATAGTCATGGAAATACTCCTTAGCTCATGACTTGGTTTCCCTGTGCCCACACTTAGCTCTTCTGGAACATAAAACGATATATC